GACAAAACTCCCGAGCTTCTGGGGGCTCCGCCCCCTGGACCCAACACCAAATTGTGTCCTGCCACTGTCACAAATAAGGTATAAAATTATGCTCATCCGACGTTAATTTTGATGTTTAATACCCCTGAGCTTCTGAGGGCTCCGCCCTGTGAAAAAAACGTGTAAAAAAAAACACGTTAATTTTTACCGTGTTTGGGAGATACCCCCCTCCCCTGGCGTTCAAGGGGGGGGGGGGGGGTACGATTTTTCAAATTGTTGAGGGCCCCAAAAAAGATTAGTGCTCTCTAGTAATTTCGCGACTATCCGGAACCGCGGCAGATATAAAGTTTTTCTTTCATGACTTTTTTTCTTTCGAGTCTTACGCATCTTTTGAAACATTTTTTTGTTGAAAATCGGACGTAGAATTGCGGAGTCACGTGACCTTTTGTTTTTGCATGTCAGCCCTAAAATCGCTCATTTTTGTGATTTATGTACCAAACATATTGAAATACCATTTATTCTTTTAAAAAAAGAGAAAACATTGGTTATTTGGTCTTGTTTCAAGTAAATGTGTTTGATTTTGGGTAAAAATAGTTGAATTGTGGTTAGAAATGAAATGAATAACAAAATAATATAATACATAAATACAAATCATCAAAACAAGAGATAACATAGGGATAAACTGGCTCTTCCAACTTCGTTGTCGTATTATTATTCTAACGAATATATGAAGTGAAAAAGAACGCTCGGATATGAATTATATATGATTTATGGGTAAAAATGTGAATTCTCTGACCTTGTTTGCATAAATTACCATAAATATGCATTTTCGCGGCGATCAGCTGTGAAACGGCCGAGATCTTAGGGGGACCCCCCCCCCCCACCCTCAAGTCCACTCCAATCACATTGAAAAAAAGTATGACTTAAATCATCTCTCTCATCATTATACCGCTATAGTATTCATGTTTTTAATATTATTTATTGTCCATTAAACAAGTTCATAGAGAAAATACTTATCTCTCTGCAACATTAAAAAAGAATCTTCATTAATATGTCTTAATTTGTATTGATAGCCTTGTGGTCGCCAACAGTGGCGAAGGCAGGGGCGTCTCCAAAGGGGGTGTGGGGGTGCGACACCCCCCCCCCACCTGTCAGGATATTGTCGGTAAAATTGCGCTGCCGCCGGGAAAAAAGAGAAAAGGGGGAGGGGAAAAAAGAGAGTAAAAGGGAAAGAAAAGAAAAAAAGAAAAAGAAAAGAAAAAAAAGAAAAGAAAAGGAAAGAAAAGAGAAGAAAGAAAAGAAAGAGAAAAACGAAAAAGAGGGAGAATAGGAAAGAAAGGAAGCAAGAGCCCTTCGCCCCCGTTACCCTCTTTTCTTCTTCTTCCTCTTCTTTCTTTCCTTTTATCTTCTCTTTCCCTTTCCTTCTCTCTCTCTATCTCTCTCTTATTTACTTTTTGGCTGGGGGGGGGGGGGAGAGGAGGCAAGAGCCCTTCGCTCCCGTTTCCCACTTTTCTTATTCTTTTTCCTCTTCTGTCTTTCCTTTAATATTTTCTTTCCCTCTCCCTTCTCTCTCCCTCTCTTATTTTTTTTTTTGGCGGGAGGGGGGGGGGGGGGGGTAAGAGCCTTTCGCCCTTCCCCCGTTTCCCTCTTTCCTTCTTTTTTTTCCTTTTATATTCCTTTCCTCTTTCCCTTTCCCTTCTCTCTCTCTCTCTCTCTTTCTTTTATTTTTTGGCGGGGGGGGGGGGGGGCAAGAGCCCTTCGCCCCCGTTTCCCTCTTTTTCCTTTCCTTTTATCTTCTCTTTCCCTTTCCCTTCTCTCTATCTCTCTCTCTCTTTTTATTTTTTGGCGGGGGGGGGGGGGGGGGGGCAAGAGCCCTTCGCCCCCGTTTCCCTCTTTTTCCTTTCCTTTTATCTTCTCTTTCCCTTTCCCTTTCCCTTCTCTCTATCTCTCTCTCTCTCTCTCTACTATTTATTTGTTGGCGGGGGGGGGGGGGGGGGGGAGGAGGCAAAAGCCCTTTGCCCCCGTTTCCCTCTTTTCTTCTTCTCCTTCTTTCTTTCCTTTTATATTTTCTTTCCCTTTCCCTTTCCCTTCTCTCTATCTCTCTCTCTCTCTCTCTACTATTTATTTGTTGGCGGGGGGGGGGAGGAGGCAAAAGCCCTTTGCCCCCGTTTCCCTCTTTTCTTCTTCCTCCTCTTCTTTCTTTCCTTTTATCTTCTCTTTCCCTTTCCCTTTCCCTTCTCTCTCTCTCTGATTTATTTTTTGGCGGGGGGGGGGGGGGGGCAAGAGTCCTTCGCTCCCCCGTTTCCCTCTTCTCTTCTTATTCTTCTTTCTTTCCTTTTATCTTCCCTTTCCCTTTCCCTTTTTTCCTTCTCTCTGTCTCCCCCATCAACATAGTAATAACGAAAGAGACCACTCTGTAATCAAGACCATTCCATTTTATTTAATACATTTTCGATATACTTAAATTGGCAACTATTACCTTCTGTCCGAGATCCTCATTTTAAACGACTGATGCGAAAGACTAGTCGACGCACCCTTTCGAGAAAAGCCCCCCCGCTTTCATCGAAAGGGTGTGTTAAAACGGTACTCCGCTCTCAACGCACCCTTTCGAGAAAAGGCCCCCCTCTTTTATCGAATGGGTGCGTTGAGCACACCACACCGCGCCGCACCGCACCGCACCCTTTCGATGAAAGCCAACAATTTATCCCAGAAGTAGATAGACCTAGTAGTAGTCATCTAGATGAAGCACATGGCCGAATTGGGACTCAGAGACTCCCTCCCATATCACAGATTTAGCTTTTAAAAAAAAAACTCATGCTCAGTAAACATTTTTTGCCTTTCTGAGGTCAGAAGAACAATGGTTTGGTGTTGGTCGTAACAAAAAATCTGTTAAACTGTTCAAGTTATGAAAACTGAAAAGCTCAAAAGAGATAATTTTCAGAAGGCATTTTTATTTTGAGCCAAGTTGATCACTTTACAACACATGCAAATTAAAAATTGATACCCCAAAAAGGAAGACTGTCCGTCTCCCAGGGCAACGGGCTGCAATGAATCCTTGACAAAGCCAAAGACTTTGCCAAAGGTCTTTGAAGTTCGACCAAGTGACATGTCATTTTTCTTCAAAAAAAAAAAAAGTCTCCAAAACTGGAAGGAAGTAGATCTAGAAGTCTACCAGTACCATATTGCAGGCCATGTGCCTCTCAGCCAGCCTTGTGCTTATTTCTGCAAGCCAAAAATTCAAAAAGCGATGAAAAGTCTACTCTTTTTGTGAGACATCGAGCCATGGCATGGTAACATATTTATAAGTTAAAACTTAGCCTCGAAGACGCCCAAAAAGGTAACATGCAGAGTGGAGGAATGCTAAAAATGTCAAGTATCAACTGGCTTCATGTTGCATGTGAAGACCTCTAACATTTAGCAAAGAGTTGTGAATTGTGTGACCTAGCTTTGTACACCACCCGTCACCATGCGGCATGCGCATGTCGTTTCATACTTAAAATAGAGGTCTAGACCCCTATTGAACATTTCACATCTTCCACAAGAAAATTGGTGCAAATTAAGGCTATCTGATATCAATATCATATTAATTATTATCACCTTAGCCCTTTAATAAGGCTAAGGCTAACTAGTTCTTGGGCGTCTTCCAGGCTAAAGCCACGATGTTCATGATCATTGCGGAAAGCAAAGCCACGTGGTGGTGCCCCCACACGCGGACCGCGTGGCGTGCGCTGTGTATGCATGGTCAATGCTGATGCACTGCTGCACATACACCACGGCTCTCCTACAACGCATGTGCGTCGTGATCGACTCACAATCATTTCAACACGACATGCAAAATCCAACTTAAAACAAACAGCATACCGGCATGGCACTAATCACACATTTCTAACACACCTACAAGAAATATTCATCAATTATGGACAAACCTTAGACTTCTTCTGAACTTTGTTGGTACCCATTTTGATGCTTCAATTCAATGTTATTTTTTTCAGCACAAAAAGATCAGTCTACACTCCAGCAGCATGTGAGGTTTAAATGGCCGACGAATAATTTGCATTTTATTAACTGCGCACGGCGCACGTGCGTGTACGTAAATACGCACGTTATACGATATGCATATGGCTGAGCGGCACGTACGTAATGGAATAGTATCATGAGAGTATCAAGACACTTTACCTTGCCTTATTTCTGTAGTACGCTTGACATTTGACAACGGACTCGAAAAGTTACGCGAAAACATATCCTTTTTTAATATTTCATCAGTCTTATTCTATCTTTTCAAAGTCTGATTTTTGCAAAAGAGCAAGGGTGAAGATTTAAAAGATATTTATTAAACCTTCTTTTCCAATAATTGCCTTTACAAAAGGCATAAATCCCAGCTAAGGACTGCCATATGGGATCATAAAAACAAGGATTCTCGAGGTTATGTAAAATGTCGGCTTACATACAAGTTGAGGATGTGGAAAAGAGCAACGAATGTTTAAAAACTCATTAAAAAAGACTCCACATTTGGGAAAGTAAAATGTAAAAAAAAAAAAATCGGCTGAGAAGCCCCCCCCCCCGAGCCCCCCACCTAAATTGCATGGAATATATACACAGGCGTGGATCCAGGATTTCTTAGGGTGGGGGGGGGGGGGGTGGCCAAACTTGAAATCAATTTGAAATTAAGTGTGCTGAAATCTGAAAATCGTGCCATTTAGCTCAATGGGGGGGGGGGGGGGGGGGGGGGAGGTTAGTGAGCAGTTTTGTTTTTTTTTCTTTTTGCTCCGAAAATTTGAAAATCGCGCCGGCCGATAATTCGCTCAGTGCATGGGGGAGGGGGGGGGGGGGGTTAGGTGGATCCGCCACTGACATGCTTTTGACCAGTAAATAATATTTATTTAAATTCAAAAACTAAGAAAATCATGAAATTCGACTCACGTAAAGTTGAGGCTCAAAAAATCAAGAAAACCCCCAATAAATCCCAGGGAATGAGTATATTGCTTTTGACCGGAAAGGGGGGTGGGGGGGGGGGGGGTGGGCAACTTTATTCCAACGCTTGTTCTAATGTACTTCATGATCGAGATGACTACGCTCACGTGCTCATAGTTTCTGAACTGACCAGTCTCCGCTCATGTATGTTCTTTGGTAATGCCATGCGCCCATCGAGATCTCTATGCATGCGCCATATCGATTTGGTATTCGTAGTCTGCAATTTCGAGCAAGTTAATACGAAAGAAAAAGAAGGAAGAACGCTAAAAGCTGGAATGAACTGAAGTCTTTTAAAAAACTGGTTGGAGGGGGGGGGGGGTGCTTTACTGTTTCCTAAATTGGGGAAGGAGAGATCATCGAGACAGGGAAAGAGAGAGAGAGAGAGAGAGAGAGAGAGAGAGAGAGAGAGAGAGAGAAACGGTAATTTTCTTCCTCTCTTCTATATTACCTTCTCAGGTTTTAAAGATTCCAGTAGTGCCAGCCATCATTGCAGGACAATTGACATCAAGCTAGGCCCACAGAAAGCATACTCTACAATATATACACTACTTTCACATTCTGTCTCCCACCTCTCTCTGCATCAGTGATCTCTTATATTGCTTCTTATCCCTCTCCTTCTCTGTCGCTGTCTACACCCCTCTCTCAAAGACACGCATACACACGTACACCAACAAACACCCCCCCCCCCCCACCCCTCGATCCTTTTTTTCCATTTTGTTTCAATCTTCCTTTTGGTACATCTATATATTTCCATCTTCAATCTGTGCTCATGCACACACCATAAAAAAAATGTTTTTATTTTATATGTAAACCTCTGCTTTACAATGAAAACTGACACAACCTAAACGTTTCCCTCTAAACTAATCGAACACAACATTACTTTACCGGTAATTAAATGCTCCTAGTAGTGGGTTCTCATGGGGAATTTCACACCATTCCGGGTGTTGCCCTATATAAAAGGTGTTGTCAATCACCAAGAGTGAACTTCACTTTAACGACCGACGGGTCAAAATAACTACCACACTTGGAATCCAGTCTGCATATCCATCATTTGTTGCTATGTCAGGTAGCCCTTCAGGTTGTCATGACAACCTTTTATTTAAAGGTATGCATAACATCTAAATATGTTAGTAATTAAGCTGGTCGATTGGCAGTTCAACCAAATCTGGTGTCAGTGAATTATGATGCAACATGGACCCTGACTACTACCATAATGTTGCTTTATATGAGTCGATGAAACAAAAGGGATTGTAATTAAGATTCATAATAATAAATAAATGAATATCAAGAAGCACACAATGTCTCGTGTTGAATGACAGAATAACATTTATTCACAACATGCAGGAATGTACATTAGACACAATGAGCAGCAGAAAATAGAAGTGTGTGTGTGTGGGGGGGGGGGGGGGGGGTCTCAGGTTAAGGGGCAATTATTTGAACATTTGAAGGAACTATAATAGAATAACATACTGTTTACGCAATCTAAGTTACATGAACTATATGTTAATAACAAATTAAATGTTCCAAAATGCCCCCCCTCTTTTTGTTGTTGTTATATTCCAGGTTATCCACTACTTTTGTAACATCAATTATTTATATAATACTTTGAAATAAATTTCATCCCCTTAAATTTTCACTCATGATTCCCACATAATGCTGTTTAGTAAAATTTCATTCAAAACTGGTCAAAAATAATGAATAGAACTTCACATCTTTATTGTCGTGAGAAAAAAATGTTTTGACTTTGAGCATCATGTTTTCTCGTTAGTTTGAGATGATTCTTAATTTCTATCTTTTTTGTTATAGATGTGAACAGCATCAAACATTGTGACCACTGGGATAACCATTAAATACTGACAAGAAAATAATGATTTGGATCATAAATCATACAAACAGGTTATGGAATAACAAAGACAAAATTCAGGTGGGCCCTAATTGAGGCTTGTAATACGTCTGTCATATACTTCAGCACATTGATTCAACAGTCAAAACTGAATGAATAGACGCTGTTAATACTATTAAAACCAACAAGAATACGTATACAGAACATCATGTGATAAATCATGTGATAAATCATGTAATAAACATAGCTACAATAATAACAACACACATGTAGAGACAATTCTAATACATACAATCCTATCATAATTAAATACTTAAAAATGAAAATTCCGTTTATAAGTAAACTCTATAAGTTTCAGTGCAAACTGTGTCCTTTCTATCTCAAATATATACAGTCAAACCTGCTTTAGAGACCACCTGTCTGTAAAGACTGCATTTTTTGTTTCCCTTGACTAATGTTTCCCATTGAATCCTGTACTAAAGGAACCTGTACATAAAGACCACCTGCCTATAAAGACTATTTATTTTTCCCTTGAGTGGTCTTTATATACAGGTTCCACTGTAATTCAAATGGGATAAAAAGAGAATCAAACCATGTTACACAATCTTGCACAGAAAAATAGTCTTGACAAACACAAATCGGTTTTGTGGATAACTGTCCATATACAGTGCCCTCAAAAACGGCAAACAAAAATGTGTTGAATAATGCTTGAAATGAACAATCCAAAAAATTATTGTAATAATAGTTAAAATCAGATAAATGTTATAAATATATTCCATCAATAAACATACATGTATATACATTATCTTCCAAAACACGTACCTTCACAAACACATTTCTAACATTTGGCAGAAATGGCATGGCTCGTTAATCTTTATTCAAAATCTTTACATAGAATTTCAACAATGATCATACAAGCATCTCAAATCTCCATTCCATTTCTCTCAATGTACACCACATTCAAGCCTTTGGTCTTGTAGTATATTTGAATTCTGTTTCTCATTTTTTAACATAAAAATGTAAGAATGAGCGCTCTGCATTTTATGAAAAGATTATGTTCCTTCCACGTACAGTAATCATTCCTTTTTTTGGTGTGAATTTCATAAAAACAAAAAGAATACAATTTTAGTAAAATATAAAGAGTTTTCATTGTTTTCCGACCAAATTTCACCAGTGTTTGCTTACATTTTCATAAGTAATCATTACTTTTTTATGTGTGTATTTCATCAAAACACAAAGAATATAATTTCAGTAAAATATAAAGAGTTTCCATTGTTTTCCGACCAAATTTCACCAGTGTTTGCTTAATATATTTTCAGTTTGTTTTTGCTTGGAACAGCATACATGTGACAGATAATATATTACAAGGATGACTTATTTTAATACTGAGCGTTTCTGCTGAATATCCTAATAATCCCTCTGCCTGCCGCCTCTGCTCGGTCCCTGAGGTCTGGCTGGGGTAGGGTGGCGATGGTAGGGATGGGCGTTATCGGACGTCCTCTCGGATCGGTCAAATCGGACGGACTGGGGGTTGGCTGGATGGTGCCTCACAGGCCTTTGTTCCCTATCGTGCAGGTATCTACAGTAACCATAGCAACAATGAGTAAGAAATGGATAGAGATGATCTCAAATCAAAAATCAAAATCGGACGGACTGGGGGTTGGCTGGGTGGTGCCTCACGGGTCTTTGTTCCCTATCGTGCATGTATCTACAGTAACCATAGCAACAATGAGTGAGAAGTGGATAGAGATGATCACAAAACAAAATTTCAGATGGGAGAAAATGTTTCATGGACTGAGCAGCATGATAATATATTAGGTCCTTTTTTTACTGAGATTTATTTTAACCCGACACTGCATTTAAGCTTGGTCTTAAGTTGAGTGAACAAAGGAAGAAGGACAAAGGTCTGGTCTGGTAAAGACTAATTTCTCCTTTTTTTTTTCGAAAGTGCTTTAATCCTTGCATCAGGTTAACTTAATTGGTAGAAGAAGGGACTAAGAGTTGAAATAACTTTGCTTTTCAAACCAGGAAGGAAAAAAAAGGGATCAAAGTATAATGCATGGGAATATAATCACTTGGTAGCAAATGAAGTTAAACATAAACTGAACAGAGGAAGAAAAAGTGGCAATGAAAGCAATCTTACTCTCTGCTATCTGTAACAGCCGACATGGTTCGCCTACTACCTGCCAATATTCTACAAAGCTTTAAACCTGACACTTGGTAGCAAATGAAGTTAAAGGGACGTGGTAACATTATTTAGATGAGAGAAAATAGTGCTAATGCAGTGTCTTCAATGCTAGATGGACAATTAAAGATAATCTGAAAGTTTGAGTGAAAACAGACTATTATTAATGATAAAAAATTGGGGAAAACTGATCTGATCGATTCCTTAATTCTTCTGATTCTTCAAAAAAAACCATAAGTATCTTTGTGATGTGAGAATTTTTTCATGATTTTTTGCATGTTAGAGGGTAAGTAGATTAGAAGAAAAGTAGCAATAAAAGCCATCTTACTCTCTGCCATCTGTAACAGCCAACACGGGTGGCCTACTCTCTTCCACGGAACGTCCCCCTCCCCGGTGAGCTCCTGTTTTCTGCTTCCATTCATTGTCAAATGTAGGTGCATCACCTGTAAGAAAAAACAAAAATAATTTCTATTGTAAGAAGAACAATATAAAGTAGGTTCATTGTACGTGAAATAATCATGACTAATTTTATACACACAATTACCATAGTGAGAGAACATAAAAATATAGTTGTCTTCAGATATTTCTCTATAATCATTTATTTTGTCATTTTTATGGACCAATAATTATATGTAATTTGATAATTTGTTAATTATTTACTTATTCTTTTGTATATCGTGCATTTTTCACTTATTTGTAGTAAACTATAACTCAATATCCATATTTGCAATTGTAATTATATTAGAATTCTACCCAACTATGTAAAGTGCATAGAGACCGTTTGAGTAGAATGCACTATATAAGAAACTACTTATTATTATTATTATTATTATTATTCATAAGGCCATGTTCAAACACTGTTGTTCACTGTCAATCCTGTGACAGATTTTGCTTTGTATTTCCACAAACGAAAAGACATTTGCAGCAACACATCATCTCAAATCCCTGTCCATACAAAAATTAGCGATATTTTTGTACTCGACAAACAGGATAGTTATCCACGACTATGTCACAATCCACTGACCGAAACAACCAAATTCAGATTTGCATAGACTAATAGTGATCTCATATTTCAAACATTCATAACTTTCTTATTATTGGTCCGAATTATTCCAAACTTTTGCCATTCTGTAGATCTTATTTTGTGTTTTCATAAAATGAAAGGTAGTGTCTCTTTTGCAGCTACATCAAATTCTAAAGAACTTTGCAGGAATTATGAATATGTCCAACTGTGATATGTAAACGTTACATGTAGCAGTGTCCTAATATTATGCAAGGAAGCTGTTTACTTTTCTAGACTTCACTGTCAGACACTATTGAGTGACTGACTGTCTTCTTTTTTTTCTTTGGTAAGCTGATTGAATCTTTGCACAGCATAAAACGAACGACCATACAGTAAATCAGACTATTTTCATCGCATAATATTCGAAACGGTCAATATAATTCCACATGAAGGCATTTACCAGTTCTAATTTTTCAGGGGAGTTTTTAGTTGGCATTAGCTCTTGTTTACCATAGGATTCACACAAGTTTATATTTTCAGCCTGCAAAAGGAACACACCACCATATTACATGGTTGGATTGCCTTAAAGCCTATCTGCACTAGTTTGGCCAGGAGGGATTAGACCTTCCTGTATGGTCACTGACAGGTGGTTATCTCATCAAATCAGCTCTCACTTAACATAAGAAAAAGAGGATCATGGGGGACCAACAGGCACCGATTAGGCATTGTTTGCTATATAGAGGGTGCAAGTAGCTATAAGTAGTGCAGTGGGGCTTTAAATCATCTCCCTCAATGGATGTAGAAAGTTTGACAAGGATGACAGAAATATTTGGTCTTCTCTAACTGAACTTTCTCTTCAACCTCTCTAACTAGGAATGACTTACTCTCATCAATATTAAGAAAGTCTTGTTTCTCCTCCTGGTCGCCTGTTCTTGTATTCTTGGATTTCTCGATCACATGTCCTCTATCATCTGTAACACAAGGAACAAAATTTGTATCGAAAGTTAGTACAAATAATAATAATTATAATAATAATAATAATAATAATAATAGTATTATGCACTTATATTGCACCATCTATCTAGTCAAACTATTCCGAGGTGCATTATGAAATTAAGAAAGTTAGGAAGAAGTGCAAAAAAAGACTACAGGATAGTACAAAGTGTGTTTATAATACTTTCACGTACTGTATGCCTTCGAAAACAGGACTGTCTTCAGGTTAGACTTCAAAAATCATAAGTTTCTAATAATAATAATAATAATACATTACATTTATAATGCACTTAATACAATGTTTCTAAGCGCAAGAGAAAGAAGAAAGGATAAGGAAGGAAAAGTGAGAAATACTCAAGAAACATATAAAAAAAAACATTGAATTACATATTAACGGCAAAGAAGAATGTGACATTACACAAACAAACGTATATATGAGCTGGTAATGTGTATGAGTATGTAAAAATCCATCTCAAACAGCAAAACAACCCACAGGAAACAGGAAACAAACCCATACCGATTCTTATTTGAACTTTGAATCAGATCAGAGCGTAACCTTGGGCAATAATGCACTGCAGAGTGAATTCCAACATATTGACAAAGCACTTATGTTATGTGGATACACAGCATTGATGAGACAAAGAGCAAGGAACAGAGTATAAGACCCCCCCCCCCCCCCCCCACCAAGGAAAAGAAAGAAGTTAACAACAGAGTAGTCCTTCCTTTTGTTAACACGTTATCCTCTCGATTGAAATGAGCCTTCCAAGACAAGTATATTAGTGTTGCCTTCAAAAGCCCAAACATCCAAAAGACTAAATTCCAAGAGAGAAAAGATAGGCATCGTGACAGGCCAGATTACTTGCACAGATTGTAACAATTCATACGTTGGGGAAACTGGCAGAACTCTTAATGAGCCATTAAAAGAACACAAAAGAGCCCTCGGATTGAGTAACCCATCCCATTGAAGATAGTGTGGACCCCTGCGTAATATCATGCTCGTCAATACCACAACATACACATACTTATTATTGTACATTACATGTGATGTACATGAATGTTTATGTCTACTACCTCGCTCGGGTAACCTCAATATTTGAAGGTGACAAATGTGACATTCCTTTGGTAACAAACGCTGTTTATGCTATTTTTACCTTTTTCACTTTGTCTATCGTCTTATGTTTAGGCCTTCTTGCCCACCTATTATCATTGTTTCATCCTTCACCATTGCAACCACTTCAATCAAATGTTAGGTTTTATTTAGGGAAACCTATAACCTACAAGCTAAGATTCTTAATAGGTTCCTCACATTTCAAACTGTATAATCCACCAATTTTTTAAAATAAGTAATTTTGACGTCTTTACAAAGACTTGATTATATAATGTCATAGTTGTACATAGTTGTGATTGATATTAATCGCTATTAAATGGGGTTAGTATCAAAATAAAGATCGGGCCCAGTTGTAGATTAAATGAAGCTTAGACAAGCTGGGTAACAGACCAAGTTACCTTGGATCAAAAGGCAATAAATTGTGGTGTTGCAAAGCTGTTACCTGGAATAACCTTATGTGGCGTACTTGATACAGTCAAACCTGTCTATAGCGACTGCCCAAGGGATACACAAAAAGTCGTCTTTGAAGACGGGTTCCTTTAGTACATGTTTCAATGAGAAACCATTTTCAAGGGAAACAAAAAATGTGGTCTTTGTAGACAGGTGGCCAGTCACTAAAGCAGGTTTGACAGTAGTTTCTAGACAATGGGTGGTATTCTCATAAGTTAAGCCGGGACTAAGTCCAGACTAAACAAGAATTTTAGTTCACACTTCTATGGAATGCTAGGTTTCATCTTCCTCCTTCAATATTCATGACAAGGATAATCTACCAAAGACTTTTTGGAAATTCAGTTCATACTCATATTATCTTTTTCTTACCATTTCATTGCAAAATTAATTTTTTGGAGACTTTTCATTGAAGGATTAAAATAATCTGTACAGGATAAATGAGTTGACAACAGGCACTCCATAAAAGTGTGGACGAACTTAGTGCGCGCTAAGTTAGTACGCACTACCAGAATACCACCCTATTTGTTTTAGTATCCCAACAGACGAGTAAATGCCTGCTGCTAGGGCAATGCTCACTGCAAGAAATGCTTTACTTACTGATATGATGACCGATAGCCATCTTCTCAATGCCTTGTGCTGAATCTCTCACTGTTTTCCTGGTTTCACGAATCTGTGCAGGGAAAGAGAATAAACCATGATGTCATTACCATAGCCTTTTCCGAAACGGGTATTTCCCTCTCCGTCATGTGACAAAAATGTAGTCAGGATCAAACTGTCAAGCAATCTACGATGTGTTGGGGCAATTCCAAATGGGCAATGAGAATCGCATTGCCTTTTTAATTTAAACAAAAATACAGTAATTGATGTTATCCAACTTTAGTGTTAGTAAATTATGAGGCAATACACGTGGAAGCAGACCCCTGTGCAGCTTTAAAGGGAAAGTTGAGTTCTTGTTTAAAGCAAATGCTTTCAAATTACATGGTTTTTGCTTTTATTCTTATTTATAACATTTCTAGTTCCCTTTTTATGATCTAAAATTGCTATGAAGATTATCTTAGACCCCAAAATGAGTGCAATTTAGATTAAATATGATCATACCAATTCAGCTCCACTTTAAAAAAAAAATTGGTGACTGTTAGTTAATTACTTAATCAATGATAACAATACACGGGCCAGCTGGTTGTGCACATAATAACCAACACGAAAAAGCCAACTTTTTTTCAAGGGCTGGTTCAAAATTATTGAATATTTGTGGTGCCCCACAAATATTAGAAATGGTTATAATTATGGATATTTCAGCCGTCCATGAACCGATTTTGATCAAACAAATATGATTTTGTCATTTAAATTGTATGTTCTTTCAAATTTGACACCCAGTTTTTCATTATCTCACAAAAAATTATTTTGTGTAGCGCCCTCTGCAACAAAACTCAACTATCCCTTTAAAACAAATTTTAACCAGGGGGGTGTTTCACAAAGATCCTAAGTTGAACTTATCTCTAAGTTGGACTTAACAATTATGGAAAGCCATTAGCATCCTTGAAAGAATTTTGTAAAAGTTGTTTTAAAAGGCATGAAATGTTGATTAAAATCATTCATATTTTCTAGTATTATGGGAGATTTCATGTTCTTGATGTGGAATTTATGAAAAGTCTAAAATACTTGAATTTTTGCTTTTGAATATATTTCAAAATAAGTCCAACTTAGAGTTAAGTTTGACTTCAAGTCTTTGTGAAACACCTCCCAGGTCATAGCCGCCAGCAAAGAACATTGCATAGTAACCACTTATGAAAAATACCCTGATTAATTTCCATACGCTGTTCGTGTCTTTAGTGAACGATTGACTTACCCCTCCCGGAGCTTGTCTGGTAGAAGAAGATGCCTGGTAGTATTGTGGTGCACCGTTCCCAGTATTAGAGTAACTCATTACTGATGATGATGAGTAGCAGTGAGAGTTAGGATCACTTGCAACTCTCTCCTGTCAAGGAATAATACAAGCAAACAAAATCAATCAATTATAAATCATCGCTTCTGAATTGATTTCTATTTTTGGGCAATTATTGATAAATCAAATACAAAACATTCAAATAAACAATAATAAACATAATTGATTTACATAAAGAGTGACAACTGAAATACATACACATAAAAATGCATATACCGGTACATTGAAAACTTGAAAGTATTGAGGTAGGTCAAATAATCAAGATAAATGCAGAGGCCAACTATCATAAGCATGAAAGCTTGAGTCGATAGAAGCCGGGAAAGGGGGGGGGGGGGTGTAGATGATTCTGATTACTGTCAAAAGAAATGTAAAACAATGTTAAAACACATCCTTGGAGAAACCAGTGGTACATTGTCTCATATCATGAAACATGTCTCTTGAGTAAGACCTTATAAAATCAACAAATGTGAAAGGAGAATCTTATGAGTTGAAATCAACCTCCTTTATCGGATTATACATTTAAATTGAAGTTATTACAGTCAACAACTAAATTATTCATACCCCCTGTAAATTTGATGTTTTTTGTGTTTTTCTTAACTCAAGAATGCAAGGTGGACTGGTTAAATCGGGGGCCTTTGTTGAATACTTTTAGAGGTAAGCTTTCATATTTCACATTATCAAGAAATACAGTTGTTGACTGTATGTGCATGCACAGTATTAAACATAAAACTGCTTGAATCTTGATCATTTTTCAGCCTATAATGATTTGAATTGATTGGTTTTATTTAGTACTGTAACATCACGGATATCTCCAATTCCGTTTAACCGCCAGTCAAAACCGGACGGTTTTCGGTTAAACGATTTATAAAAATTATGAAAAAGCGGGAAGGACTGCGAGGTGATTTAACTGAAGGCGCCGATTTGTGCTTGTGAACTAGTCACAAATAATAGTAACAATGTCGTTTTAGAATAATGTGTAAGATCATTAATGTAAATTAAAAACAGTAGAGGACCTAGGATAGAACCTTGTGGTACACCATGTGTTAAACTTGGATGAATATATATTGAGATCTATTACAAAAATTACTTTCAAACCAAGATGACAGACAAATTGGAGTGTTGTTCTAGTTTCCAAGTGGTAAGTCATCACACCGATTACTGAGCTGGGAGACATTGCCAGGCATAGTGCCAGGTGGAGGGGCATAAATTGAAAACTTTAAAAAAAAAATAAAAAAAAAAAAATTAGAAAAAAAAAACGGGAAAACGAAACCGTCCAATTGAAAACGGAATCCGCCATGGGTGGTCGGATACCGGACGGTTAAATGTTTGACTACAGCACTAGTTTTATTATACATCACAACACTGAGAACTCACCATATGACTCTGCATGTTTCCCATCATCGAGTTCATATTGGCAAACATGGAGCCCATACCACCCATCATACCAAAAGGAGCCATCGCCTTGGGAAAAAACAGAACATACATGTTTATGAAATTAGAATATACATATCGACAAAAAATAAGTACCGGGTACATGTAGTATCAGAGTACAAAACACAATCAAGTTTAATTCATAGTCCACACTAATTTGTCAATAGCTTCTTTAAAAACGTATTTTAATTCTAACTTTATCAATATCAAGTTTATCAACATCACCGTATAAACAATTCCTACAAAACAAAACTGATAAAATTTAATTTTTGATTTGACAGAAGATACAAGAGCAAATAAAAAGAATTTTATGTAATTTTCGAAATATTCAGCAGGATTGTCTTTTCTTTTTAGAGGACCTAAACTTAAAGGTATGCTATCCATAATATATTTTGAGTGGTGCCCCATGGGATAAGGCACTTGGGAGAAAAATAGAATTCACAGATATTTCTCTAGACGTCAAACAGAAAGTTGCCCCAAATTTGTCACAATCAACTGGAAAAATTGCAGATTTCAGATTTGCATCAATGTAGGGATGTTTATATTTCAAACAATCATAACTTTGTTATATATTCTTCCGATGCATTTTCAAACTTTCGCAATTCTCTTTCTCCTTTTATACAAATAAACTTATTACAAGGTTGGAGTGTCCTTTAAACAGTATTACTAAATGCTTTCCTACTCCAACAAGGGGGTGTTTCACAAAGACTAAGATCAACTTTAAGTTGGACTTAACTATGGCAGGCCGTTCATGCCACTGGTTGCTCTCACCAATGGTCTCTCAATTATGATCTTTAGATAATATTTTGTCCTTTATTAATGAATTATCAAACAATTTAAATTCTGTAGATTTGTGACGATAATTTGTACGTCTCTTGAGAGACCAATGCCAGTAAATGATGAGAGCAAACAACTTAAAGTCGATCTTAGTCTTTGTGAACCCCCCCCCCCCCCCCCAGCTCATCCCATCATTTGGGTAAATTACTTTGGTTGGCTACTGAGATTTAAAGGGATCGTTTAACAATGTTAAATCTGAGATACACAGCCCTACGTGTTATCAGTGTCTGTGATATGGTGTTATATTGAGCCCTAAAAAAATTGTGCTTCAAAATGATCATGAAGTGCCTCAAAAAATTAAATATCTTTGAGTGACCGGTTTTACCATACTCGTTTTCCCCAATAGACTGTAGTGTTATAAAAACCGTTCGGCAAACGGTTTTCAAAATTTGTAATTCCAATCATAGATATCTTGATAATCAGACAGGCGATCGGCTTGTAAAAGTCATGGGGTTCCTGACTAACCTAAAGGTTTATAATTATCATTGCATCATGAGCTAAATCCAGAATTTTGTTTCAGAATCTGAGACAAAGTTACCAGATCCCTTTAATAAGCAGACAAGGAACTAACACTTCAACAAGCTCTGCTTCAAGTTAGTTCCTCTTTTCTTGTGCTTTTTCCATTATATTTGTCGTTTCATTGCATATATTTGTTGTGATTTAATTATTCTTGTATAATGTTTTGCATGAGAAATAAAATCATTTGAATCATTTGAAGGATAAAAAAATGAAGAAAAAGATAAGGGATGTCATCTTGTCTTACCATAGGATTGTTGGCTGGATTTGGCCTGAATGGTTGAGGGGGTCTTCTTACACCTCTGGCTTCTATAGATGGCATGAATTGCTGGGGGAACATACTCCCCATCGCCATGGGGACCATGTGTCGACGATGTGCCTCTTGCATGTCACTGTGAATATGAATATCAAGAATAATAATACATTTACCACATTTCTTTGGGTAGATTGTAAATATAACTTTCTTACAAACCCCAAACTGTAGTTCTATATCCTACCCCGCCGATTCCAGCTCCATGTTGTATCGTTGATTCAACCGGCGAAGAGAAAGTACGCATGCGTGGTAGTGCGTACTTTCTCTTCGCCATGTTGAGTCGACGATACAACATGGAAGAATCGTCGGGGTAGGACGAAGAATCACCCCCTTTTTCCCATCGAAGACTTCGTCAAATTATACTTTTAAGTTGCCAGAAAGATGCCCAGAGGAGTCGAGCAACCTCGTAAGTCAAAATTGTAATTACTCCCTTTGCATATTTTGAGATAATGTCGCCCAATCCGCCGTTTGAATGTTTTTCGATGCACCACCTGAAGCTCTGACACCTTCGGCATCGGCGTCGGAGATTGCCTGGAGTTAGTCTTACAAGATTTATGTAATATTACTTGTAAACTACATGTACAATGTACATCAACAGCTTGTCCCAGAATAAGGATCATCCACAAAAACGAGGATTGTCTTCGTACACGCGGACAGACCCGTCCGCATTTTCGCAGAGCGCCAATGAAAAAAAAACGTCCGCGGACTATCCTTGTTTTTTGGGACATAATTTTCCACGTTTACGAGGATAGCCTCCTTTCTGCGGAAGATCCACATTCTACTGATCCTACTGATCAAATTGCTTTAATTCAAGTGTCCAGATACACAACCTCTCAGGAAACAAACTCAAAAGACAAAACTCAAAAGTCAAAACGTCTGATCTGGCATGGCGCAAGTTGCAAGTTGAAACTGAAAATTACACTTTTATTCTTGAATTTTGAAGAAGCTTCTGTCGCACATTTATTTCTTATTTTAGAATATTAATTTTTTTTGAGAGGAATATAAACAGGGATAAAAGAAAAAACCTTGTCCCCCTGGCCCTAGCTTAGTCAAATTTTATTTTAAGTGCGCAGCTCAGACATTCCACGGCCATGGCTCGGGCTCCGTTCGGGCTACGCTACAGGCGGCTCCCCATTGCTCATTAGGCCGACAGACATTGCCATTAGGCATTAGAATACTTGTCATTATTTATCATAACAATACTATAGCTCACTTGAAAAATGGATCATCAAAACTCCCAAAAAGCGATGGTCCAAACATTGTTCCTTAGGTCTAACGTTGTACTACTGAATACGGGTCAGTCTGGAATCTCTGCAGCTCTCTGAAATTTCTAGTAACAATCGTCAGAATTCGCACTGTTTTCTGTTATGTTATGTACGATAGTAGTCTACGCGTCAATAAATAACGTCATCACAAGCATGTGTGCAGCGCAGACCCGACAGTGAGAACATTCGCGATAGTTCTTGTATGCAGTGCATGCAGCGAAGAAACGTACACACACATCGATTGTTCGCGAATTACATCCAGTTCGCATGACGTGACAATGCAACAACTGTACTTGTGGGTAGCAGCGAATTTTGTTAGTCTACTCATTCTAGCCCCTTAAGTGTTTGTTTTTCATCACTGGCTAAACACCACCTATCAAATTCATTACCATCATCATCATCATCACCACCGTCATCATCATCATCATCACCACCACCACCACCACCAACAACAACTCCATCATCATCATGCACAGTAGGATTATAAGGGGGAAAGCTAAATGTTTTTTTTCTTCTCCTTTTTTTGGTTGAATAATAATAAATGGCAACATACCTGTATGCTAAAGTAATACACAGAATTTTACTGGAAAGGTGCAGATATTACACGAGTTGGACATTAATGAGGGAGCGTCGGGGGTGGGGTCCGGTTCCCAGGGTAGAAGATATTTATTTAGCCAATTTGAGACTTGAAAATATTGGAAAATGGAAAGGACGTGTTCTAATACAGAGTCCTTCTATATGTTGACTAGTATTCATGATAAGGATCTATAAATTAAATAAATAATAGATATATCAGCAAATAATAGAAAATACAAAATTTCTATTGAGGAAATTAGTTGGACCACATTATTAAAGTCCTCCGTCGTCATCAGACCGAACGGGCGGTCAACACTTTGATGAGGGCTGCTATCGGTGTTTGTTGTTGTTTGTTGCTTGTTTGTTTTGTTTAGTTTTCCTTGGTTTTGGGACTGGACTGGACTAATACTTCAAACCACTTTTTTAATGTTTTCATAATGGTAGCTGGCTTACATGTATAATACAGTACACACACCTACCAAAAAAAAACACACATAAAAGCTCACAAATTAGCTCTATCAAAATGCACAAAACAAAAAACACACATGCACAAAAGGTTAGTAGAATGTTTAAACTTTAAATATATATGTACATTTATATGATGAAAAACAGGAAAACAGTACTGCACACCATAGCTTGATCTTGGACGGCATTGTGACGATTCTTTTTTTTAAGTGTTAAAACATAGATATTTAATATTTACATGACTACCATTTACAGACTGAAATTGAACTCTGACTTTAAATCACTTCATGTACATTGTAATCATAATACTTTATCAACAAAATAATGTGTATGAGAGTTTGTATCCTTTTTCTCTCTTCCCCACCTTGTATAAAGAGTTGTCAAAATAAAGTTAATAGGGAATATCTCCAACGACTCTATAGGATCAAAAACAGAAAAAAACAAAAAAGACTGGGGAAAGTTTGAATGAAATAGGACCCCCCCCCCCAAAAAAAAAAAGAAAAAAAAAAAGAGGGAATTTAAAAAAGTTATAATCACTATAGGTATGAGCTCTTCAATTTGGCTGAATCGGTAATGTATGTGTTGTAGTGGCAGACAACTTTCCGATTTGTATGACAGACAAAACAACTAAAATTCTAATTTTTCAAAAATGCATGACTCAGGAGGGTCCTTGCTTTTTAAAGGACCTATTATAATATGCTATCTATAATGTACAGTATTTAGAGAAGTGCCCTGAGGGAGAAGGCACTACAAGTTATAGGAAAAAAACAGAAATTTATGATATTTTTGTTCATGACACAGAATCTTCCTATATAAAACCATTTGACCGTGATACCTCTTCTCTGCAACTCCATGAGCATTTATATACCAGTAACCTTTACACAATGCAGTCAAATAACTTTAACCTGACTAATTGGAAAATGGAAATTGATGCTGACTTTACCTAATCTTCAAGAAAGTACTGCCAGAGGGCTATACATTAATGTACAAATATTCAAAGAATTCAACTACTAGTATAAAATAAATTATCTTTTTTCCATTGAACATACAATTTGAAAGACAGAGAGTAAGATGGTTATATTTAGATAGAGATAGATGCAAAGTCAGTTGAACACATTCTTTGTAAGACTTGCAAATTGTTAGGCCAGTATTGTAAGTAGTAATATTTGCATGTTCGAGGTAAAACAAAAGTATTGCCTGTGCCATTTACAGTTACAAGATGGTTTGCCAATAAAACATGTTATTATCTACATGCCGCAATGCGACGTGGCTGCAAGGGAATTTTACAGTAAACTTTTCCATGAGTCACCAATAAAGGCACAATACTTACTAAACACACACTACAAGACAGATGAATTTGCTCATAAACACTGTTGCACAAAATGAAAGATAAAAATGTAGTTTAAAAAAAAAACGATTGTCATTATGTATAAAAATCTTCATTGTAGATATATATATACAATAGATACTTATTCTACTTTTCATCTGACAAAAATATATTTACAAATCATGAAAAGTGAATCAATTATAAATCAAGATGAGGATACATTATAAAGCAATATTTCTATACTGTATCTGAAATGTACATAAACATTAAGTTTGCAAAATATCAAAATTAAGATGTTATAAATGAAAGTACTTGTCTACCACACCTGTACATGTACCATTCACAAAAGTAAATGGCATACAAAATAATCAAATAACATTACAAAAATGTAATAAAACAGTTAATTCATTGTTTAAAAAAAAGTCTGATCTCAGGCCCGTAAAAGTTCACATTAATCCATAATGGTAAGCCCCCCTCCCCCTCCCCCTTTGTTTGTTGGTGTAAATTTGGTATCCGACAAAATACTTTTTTTGTAAAGTCATTAAAATTGTGCGGCATGTTATAGTGAAATCCTGTGAGGAGGAATTATGACGGTTCAATGACTTTGTTTTGCATTAGTGACAGACTCAAATATCCGATTCGTCTTACCAGTGAGCTAAATTCACAGTGGAAAATTTACAAGAAAAACTGTATCAACAAAGAATTGTTCATTTATTCATGCGCACATGCTTTCAACTTGAGTTTAAACTACCAAAGAATCGAAATCACTCTGAGTTGTTTAATATTTGCAAATAGTGAAGCAAACAATCAACCCATTTTTGGCTGATATGCCATATAACATAAACCTAACTATCAATCTACATGTTCTAAAACTACATGGTTCTATCAAGTTGTCACTAATGCGACAAGACAATTTATATCTTTAAAGATACCATTAAACATTTTGAGGGGCTATGAAACAAAATCAATCTTTAAACAAGTGCAATATTTCACCAAAAATAGAGGGATTACAAATAAGCTCAATTTTCCCCCCTACTTAATGCATTTGCTAAATGGATGTGGAAAGTAAACAGAGATGAATTCATCCATTATCAAATACCATGATATTCCTTTTTTCTTTTGAATCAATCAACTCTTTGTTGATTTGTTTTTAGTTCATTCCACGTTAGATTCATGCTTATTACAAACAATCAATTCAATTCATGAAAATATTGACAGATTTTTTCTGTATCACTTGGTACTTCTATTACTTTATCCTAACCAATCACAATTTGAAGTTACTTTCAGTCAAATTATCATAGGATTTCTATGATTTCAAATATTGCTAGAAATGAGATTAAAATAAACTAGATGGAATTCGACTGCGCGCAGTCGAAAATGATGCCTCCGTCATAGAGCAATTTTACAAACCAAAACAGAAGAAATTTTTCGGATTCAAGTTCAATTGTAATCCATTGACAGGTTCCCAGAATATCGTGATTACAAGCAATTTCTCATATACATATATGACCCTTTGATCTTTGACCTCATGACCCTAAAATCTACTCAGTTCATTGGCTCTGCAAGATGTCCTGAGTTAAATAGTAATCCATCTGTCAGTTCTAATGAGAATGCGTTCACAAGCTATTTTTGCATACATAATGAGCCCATGATCTTTGACCTTTGACCTTATGAACCAAGAATCTACTCAGTTCATTGGCTCTGCAAGTAACATACATGACCTAATTTTGGCAGGAATCCATCAATCGGTTCTTGAGATAACGCGATCACAAGCTGTTATTGCATACATAATGTGTGCTGTGGCCTTTGACCTTTGACCTCATGACCACTAAATCTAATCAGTTCATCGGCTCTGCAAGTAACATACATGACCTAAGTTTGGCAGCAATCCATCAATCGGTTCTTGAGATAACGCGATCACAAGTTGTTTATGCATACATAATGAGCCCTGTGACCTTTGACCTTTAACCTCATGACCCCAAAATCTAATCAGTTCATTGGCTCTGCAAGATACATACATGACCAAAGTTTGGCAGGAATCCATCAATCGGTTCTTCAGATAACGCGATCACGAGCTGTTTTTGCATACCTAATGAGCCCTGTGACCTTTGACCTTTGACCTCGTGACCCCAAAATCTAATCAGTTCATCGGCTCTGCAAGATACATATATGACCAAAGTTTGGCAGGAATCCATCGATCGGTTCTTCAGATAACGAGATCACAAGAACGGGACGTACGTACGTACAGACATACGTACATACGTACAGACGTATGTACGGACGGACGGACAACCCGAAAACATAATGCCTCCGGCTACTTCGTAACGGAGGCATAAAAATTACATGTTTCTGGGCCAGTATTCAATTCAATACTTATGTCAGAAATATGAGTATTTTACTAATTTTTTCAGCTTAGATCAAAGATTTAGCCATATATTCCGTTGAAGCTTTTCGCCAAGTATATAAATATAAGAGACAGCTCCTGATCGAGCAGACTTAAGCCAATTAGTTTGTAGGCATTGATTGGCAGGCATATGGTTTTCATACGCAGTTATCTTAAGCTGCGTAAAATTATAAGAGGACACATCTAATGTGACACATTAACTGTGCATAATTTTGGATTGTACATGTGACATCACAATGCCTATCAGTTGGCATTTTGCCTTAAAGTCAACTTGCTTTAAAATCAAAATGCTCAAAAGATTATCTGAATAAAACTTGAGACATATTACTTAGCCAAGTAAAATACTAACTTAATCCGCATACTGAATTGAATACAGCCCCTTGTAAAGTGACGTTATAAACTGTTGTTCCTGGGTCGAAGCTAGATGTGCCAGAGACATGAGCAGCAGTTGGTAGGTTCATAGCAGATCCCGGTTCGTTGTTTGCGATCCAACACAGAGCCAGGGTAGAAATAATTGATGATCCAGAAAGGCAGCATCAGGATCACAAACACTGACAATAAAAAATTATATGATATTACTTTATGACAAGTTATGTATTACTATGTTAATGAAAAAAAAATGAAAATGACCAATAACAATCACTTAAAGTTGCTCATGCTTGGGTATATAGAGGGCAGCACACTGAGCCAACAGGTATAACGCTCCCGTTCGTACTAGTGTCCCTTCTTTATGCATACGTCCTTACGGGAGCGTAATACCTGGCTATATACCCACGCACGAACATCTTTAATACAAAAATATAAAAATATGATATGATACAAAAGTATGAAATATAATAGATTAGCTGATGAATGCATGTAATATTCAACAACATTTATATCAAATTGTAAGCCTATATTCAAGTTTGGAGGAGGTTCCTTGCAGATTGATTTCAAACTCCATCTCATACAGAGTATGATCCACATTAACCTACCCTTTTTTTCAGAATTTGTCTTTTCCATGCACACCCTATTTTTGTTATTTTTTTCCGTCTTCAGTATGCAATGAGTTAACATTTTGTGATTGTATAGAAGACTTAGCAGTCCATACCTGCCAACCTTTCACAGCAAAATTAGTAATCTCTCAAGGCAATATTAAGTGTACAGTCTAGTTTGTATACTTTTCACACAGAATATTTTAGAAAAAGAGAGGAATATAGGGTTCAAAACAATAGCTTGAAGACCCAAAAATAGAAATCATTTCTCCAAAATAGGAATGGTTGGCACTTGGCAGCTATGGTAGTCCCAATTATCAGTTACCGGTATATACATGTACCTTGAAAGTTTTCTTTATATTTCTCTAATGTTCAATATGCAAGTTATCTTAGTGGCCTACTGCACGGTGCATACCGCTGCTTTTTACCGCATTGAAATGTTCCTGACATAGAAACATTTAGGGTAAAACACTACACTCCATGTTGCAGATGAGTGCAAAAATGAAGGGGATATCACAAGGATACATGCCAAATAATTCCACATTATACCCTTCACCTTATCTTGCCATTATGTTGTTTATGCATGCCATACACTCCATTGCTACTATGCTGCAGTCCTCTTCTTTTCTCTTTCTCCAAGCTCCCTTTCCTCTTCTCCTCCTTGCCTATCCCTTTCTTCCTTTCTTCTATTTATAATGTAAATTATGTAGTTGTGTATTCACGCATACCCGATACAAGCTATGCTTTCAGGGGTTTGCGCCTTCTTCCTTGTAATACAAGTTCTTAAATTATATTTATGTTCCTACGTACAAGTTGTATTGTTTGAACAGATGTCAAATAAGTTGTCAAATTGAATGGAAGAAATAAATGTTTATTTCAATTGAATTGAATATAGCTCACCTGCTGCTATCATGCATAAGATAGTTGAAGCCAGAGAGAAGTAGTAAAGCTCAGCTGTGTTTGTCCTCTGGTTCAGAGCAAAAGAAAAAAATACAAAAATCAGATAATAATAATAATAATACCAACAATAATTTGTCTTCTTTATTCTGGGTAGCTTCATCACTTTTAAATACTGTTCTCCTCGAGGGCCCTGCATTCATGTTATTACCTCGACTTTAGCAGGGCTACCATGATAAGGCGCACAGGCATTCAAGGAATTTCTTCCTACCGGGTGCCCATTTACTAAACCTGGGTGGAGAGTGGCAAACGTATATTAATATCTTACCAAAGGATATGACTGTTATATATGTCCTTATATAAGGATATATCATTATATCTCATATTAATAATCACCTTAGATACAAGAGGTATTCTCGCTACCCTAAATAGGTACGAAAATCTCGAAATTCGCGAGACGAGGTAATTTTCACTCTCTCGGGTCGTCACTACAACTTCCGGTATAGAGTCCCATCCCACTGGCGCTAGCGCCTGTGTTCGCTGTGCAGAGTTTTCACGCACGCTAAAATCAGGGTTCTTACGCTTGGAATCATGAGCCCAGCACTGTGCAGCCTCACAAAAGAAAACCATCGTCACTGATGTCAAAAGACGCAAAAAACAATGAATGAAATGTTCAAATAAACGTTGAAATATTTGCGAAAAAAAAACAAGACCGAGCAGACGACATATTCGGTGCATACACGTTGTGTGGCGACGGCGTTTTACGTTTGCGCTATCGCGCCTAGTAATATAGCGCCTGCACAGGAAGCTGTAATGTCGAAAAGCTCTATCCCATAATGCAATGCGCGTTTTCAGGATTTTCCCCGGATCTCGGCAGAATCGCTATTTGGGGTAGCGAGAATTGATCAGTATAAATGGAAATTGCTGCATAATCGTGACTTTGTTTGATAGAAAAAAAATCCCTGTCAACCCATTTTGTGGTTTGGCTCAATAACTTTTGATTCAGAGTCCCAAAGTGTATATCAGATGCATGAGAAGAAAGAGCACATTTTCTGCACATAATGCATCCATTTTGTTACATGAACATATTGCATATGAAGAAGACAAGTACTAATTTAAAATCTGCTATCAAGTAAATAGAGATATAATTTGATTTGACCTCATTTAGACATGTGGTTAAGTGCTTTGTCATGAATATTTATGTACTACGATATGATCCATGATTTTATCTGAATAAAGATTTATTTTAAAAAAAATTAAAAAAAATTGCATATGAGGTCAGACATTTTAAAAAAAGGTAAAAATAAGCTTTGAAATCCTTAAATTGGCAACACAATGAGAGGTTCAAAATCAAAGTTTTTCAATCTAAATTTTGCTATTTCTTCAGCTTTGCGACAAAGTTTTAAACTGAATGTATATTGTTTTCAGAGTCACCACATTTATTAATACAGGCTCAATAAAAGGTAAAAACTTTCTGCTGCCAATTTGAAGAACAAATTGTGGCCTGCCCAGACAGCTATACTCACACATTCAACGGCCAGTGATGTGAAGATTGTGAGTATGAGTCCAACGAGGAAAGACACGCCCCCAAAGATGTGGAAAATCAGCTTGACCTCGTAGGGTACAGGGTCCAGGATGGAAAATAACACAACAAAACCTGGTGAGAAAAACAAGTCATAGGGAATCAATACAGTGACAAGTTTAATGAACTGTATTGGTAGAGGGTCTCAGTGTACAGTTTCAACCAAAAACGGCTTAGAGAAATTTAAAAAAAAGTATTTTTTGTGTGTTTTCTATTCAATGAGACAATAAGAGACTCGGATCATCAAGACAGTATGGTCTTTATGAACAGGTTGCCTTCCAAGGCCAGCAGTACACTATAAATGATGGGAAAGTGCACCATGAAAACTTGGTGAAATACAGAAGCACATAAGATAGGCAGGGTGTTACCGATGCTATGTTTTCATCCCTCTAGCAGGACATCAATCTATATTTGCCCAAGTTTTTTTACCCAGGAGAGAATGTGAACATGATATTGAATTTGTGTCAAAGATTGCAAGAAATATAGAAAAGCGGAATTAGAATATAAATCACAGAAATTAAAATGGCTTTAGAAAAATGTCATATCAAGGTCACAATATGTGTGTTTTGAGTAGCCCATATTTACATTAGTCACTTCTAACTTTATTGATTGTATCATCTGGTATACAGGTACAAAATGGCAATCTATTCCTGTAATGAAGTGAATTTTTAAAGCAAAATATTCAGATTATACAGATAACAACTAAATCATTCATACCCTTACCAAGATTTGTCATTTTTTAAGCACTGGTATATACAAAATTGATTTGTCCCAATTTATGCTTCTTGATAATGTGACATATTGAAGCTTACATCTAAAAGTATTCATAAAAGACCCTAACTCACCCAGGGATCATTCTTGATTTACGAAAAACCCTCACCCCAAAACAAAATATCAAATTTACAAGGTACATGTATACATATGAAGGATATCAGGATGTAGCCTTAAAATAGTCACCCGAAGAAAATTCACGACAACCGATAGTTATGGACAAATTGTATATGGATGGAAAGATTTTCTCTTGAAAAACAAGAATAATTTGCTGAAAAATCATATACCGGTAGATATCATGGAAAGGCGTAAAATGCAGTTTTGTGGCTAGCTGTGATTACTGCGAGCCCCAAACATATTTTGATGAGGGAAGTTGTTATATTTGATCAGTAAGGCTTCTCCTTCGCAATGATATGAATTTTGCATCAATTCATAACACTTTTGATTCTTCGGGTGACTACTTAAAATATACAAAGCAGAAATAGAGTTTGGAGGCGCCCTTGAAGAAAGAAATCACATACCTGTCATGCAGAAGGAGAATACGATGGAGACAATCAACATATCAAAGAGATGCTGCCCACAGTACCTTGATGAACGCTCTCTGTGTAAAGATAATTCAAACATTATCATTTTATTGATGTGATCTGTAAAATCTATTAGTACTTAGAGATGGTTTGTACCTTTTGCAGACCTAAAAACTTGAAGTGCCCTCAATTTAGCGGTAAATTGAATGTCTTTTTAGGAACCTCCCATCAAATGAATAAAATAAAAACTGGCCTTAAAAAAAAAATGTTTTATTCCAGATATTTATTTCTAGACTTGTAAAAAAATGTTGTACTTAACTCACTATTAATCTGACTGTATTTCTATTGATTTGAGAATAACTCCCTCTGTTGCAATTTAAAGTGCAACAAATGAAGACAAGGTTGGAATTTGATCTCTTACAAAGAAGTTTCAGAACCTATGACCATAAAATTTTGCCACTTTAAAGTTTTTAATGCAATTATTCATTTAAAAGGGGCAAAATCATGATTCTCTGCCAGGTATGTTGGTATTCTATGCCTGTAAAATATTTAAAAAAAGGTCTTCTTCAAAGACCAAAGAGATACAACAAGGTTTCTAAATATAGATGCACAAACACAGAGGTTTACTCCAAATCAATTTCTACACTGGCCTTTATTTTTTTCTTCTTCTGTATTTTTAATAAGCTCTTTAATCCTTGAAAGCATTTTGAAATGGTTCACAAAGATCCTTTTTTTTTTTCAATATACACCCCCCCCCCCCCCCTCCTATCAATAATGTGGAATGTCAATTATGGATGATTCTTCCAAAGGAATTTTTAGATGAAAGATGAAATTCTTTTCTTTATATGCACTGTACAGCAGTCCTTGGTCAGACAGATAATGCAATAATAAAACAAAAACAGTGATGCTCTACAACAGGTGAAAGTGATGAAACTTAACATTTCAGAAAATTATTATCAAAGTTCAAAATAAACAACACACTCACGTGGTAAGTACAAAGAACTGTGGGATCAGCAATGCAAAAGCAAACAGAAAGATCACTATACGGCTGTTTAAAGAAGAAAAGAAATAAAACAATCATGTTAAATTAAGTCTTTATGAGTTTTCAGTTTACTCTCTTCCATATATATCTTCATACTGTAACACATCGGGATGAATGGATCAACTCTGAAAATGTGACTGTGACATGTATTAATGGTTCAGATGGGTCATAAAATACCCAATGACACATGATTGAACCACATGAAATGTTCAATATCTGTAGCTGTTCTAGGAATCAGAACAGAGTATATAGTTCACATGAATGAATTTCTCTATATTGATCTCTCCTGTTTCCTCTCACTCTCTCTTTCTTGTTCTTGTTGTCTATCTGTCTGTCTCTCTTTCTGTCTGTCTCTCTCTCTCCATTTCTCTCTGTGTCTGTGTCTGTGTGTGTGTGTGTCTCTCTCTCTCTCTCTCTCTCTCTGTGTCCCTGTCTCTCTCTAAGCAGCAATAGTTTTTCTTGTTTCTTACCCAGTGCACAAGTAAGCTTAAAATCTGCATTCAGTAGTTTGCGAGAATGCTACTTCAATACAATTCAATTTTTCATGATTCTCCCACAATTTTCCCCATAATTTTCACACATACACAGGGGCGTACGCAGGGGGGGTGTTTTGGGGGTTCAAACCCCCCCCTTTGGTATTTTTATGTATGTAAACCCCCCCTAAAAAAACCTAAAACCCCCCCCCCCCCCCCCTTTGGTTTTTTTTTTATTTTTTTTATTATTATTTAAAAAAAAAAAAAAAAAAAAAAAAAAAAAAATTATACCCACGGCTAACCTAAATAAGGTGACCTTACCCCCCCCCCCCCCCCAACGACAAAAAATGTCAAATTATGAAATTTCGAGATCAAAAAAAAAAAAAATGTGTCCGCTTACCCCCCCCCCCCACTGAGCGACTTTTCGGCTGGCTGAGTCGTTGTGATTTTTTTTTGACCTCCAAAAAAAAAAAAAAAAAGTGCCCGCTTACCCCCCCCCCCCCCCCCCCCCACTGAGCGACTTTTCGGCCGGCGCGATTTTCAAATTTTCGGGAGCAAAATATTTTAAAACCCCCCCCTTGAAAAAATCCTGCGTACGCCCCTGCACATACATGTACGGTATAAGGAATTGTAGGCTCTGTAACCTTATGACCTTTGACTTACATCTTGAGTCTGTTTGTTTTAGGAAACCATCTGATAAGATGATACACACTGTGGGGTAGAGAGTACCACCACATCTTTGCATCGGAGCGAGGTTTACCTGAAGGAAGAAACACCAAAAATTAGAAAAGATATTAGATGCAATTGGTACAAAATGAATATAAGAGACTAGTACTGTACAACTCTAAAATATTGGGGAGCATAGCCATAGAATCCATATAGTAAGAGGTGCATCATCCCCTCCCCCCCCAAAAAAAAATAGACCAAAATAAAATTAAATTAAAGGTAAAGACCAGTTATGGTCATGCGATTGCATTGTGAAAGAAACGTTGTGGAATTGATCAGAAAAGGTTGATCATCTAGCATCTAGTATCTGCAAGGTTCTGGAATCATCAAAATGATAACAAATTTGGCTCATTCTTCGTAAAGTTACAAGCACTATACACAGAAAGATGTATATGGGACTACCCTATATCTCTCACAGCCCATGAGAGAAACAAATTTACCATATATATGAATTAGTAGGCAGTTTCCCGGCAAATTTGTTATCATCATGTATTAGTCAAAACATATTCTTTCACATGATTGGTAATGAGAGCTTCCATTTCATTTTTTGAAATTGGGGCGTTTCCAATACTGGTCTTTACCTTTAAGCAATTTCATTCATACATACAATTCTGGAGAAGAAATCAAAATAAACACATAGACTGGTGCGTACGAAGTACAAACACAATTACATGAAAAGTCTAGTTTATGACAATGGGGTTTTACTTTTAGGAATATACAAATGTCAATTTTAAAATTCATTCCTTATGGGGATTGGCAGATTGGTGATGACTGATGTCGATGAGTGTTGAAACAAAGAAATACAAACAAAATACAGGGATAGAACAGTAGAGCTTTTCTTTTCATCGTCCAGCTTACAAGTTTCCCCAAATCTGGCTTGTTTTACTTGCATAACAAACTGACTCACTATTGCTTCACGCTACCCTGGACACGTCTAATTTTTCCATATACTAACTTACCAGTACACTAATGCATCGCAGAGGTTATTTCAACGTTTTGAGAGAGACTAGCTAGATCTAGACCCTAGTTTGTTTTTACGGGTTATAGATGGTGACGTTAAAGGTCTGTCCCCAGATGTAAATAATCATATCTGATTGATACACGTCTTTAAAAACCCAAATACCCACTCACACTTTAATTAGCTACGAAAGCTTAGATTCTTGGAAAAAGCTCACAAACATTTTATACCAACACGGACTGTTCCAGAAATGCAGCACAATATTCAGTAGATGGGACCGATATGAAAAATATAGCCCGAGCTGTCAGCTGTCAGCATCTCTTTCAATATCCTTTATTTAAATAATCATAAAGAAATCATGATTCATTTTTGAAACCTCACCACAGACCTCTCGACATTAAAATGAATTTCAAATTACCTGTGAAACTACCCCAACTCTCAGGAAATCGTCGAAAATATGAACTGATACGACAATCGTATGACGTCAATCGTTGCTTCACGACATTATGCTTCTCTAATGCGCAAGCGCAGATCAATTAAGTCTCGCAAAGAAATGCATGCTATAGTCTACTCGTAATCAAGACATTTTTTTACTTTTATACGAGTAAATACTTCAGAATACAACGATACAGAGAAAATTCATTGATTCAATCACGAAATTAATCTTTCCAAGGTATTCTATTTCAGTATTTGAAAACATATGACAAATGCAGGATAGATATTATTTATATTTTATAAAACTTCTTCTTTTTGTGCCAAAGTCCCTGTGGCGCAATGGATTAGCGCATTGGACTTCTAATTCAAAGGTTCCGGGTTCGAGTCCCGGCAGGGATGGCCTACATTTTAACCGTACACATATCTTCTGCCTTTTATAATTCGAGAAGCAGCCAATCAGTTATCAAGGTCGCCTTCTCTAAAAAAATCCTTCTTGGTTCCAATGAAGTAAAGCTACGGTCACAAAGGTTCGTAGGAACGATGCGTTCGTACGGTACGAATCTCCCTGCTTTTCCATTGTCTTCCCGAGTTTCCATTGTCTGAAAATCGTTCGCACGGCGTTTGTAGCGGTTCGTAATGGCATTTGTGACCTTACCAAATAACCACTGACTTTTTATGTAGGAAGCAGGACTTATTTTGTTTATCACTACCTTCCTTAATTTCTAAAATAAGGCTACATTTAATCTTCTGAACATTGAATGATAACAATAATACTAGTAATGACAACATAATGATTACAATCTAATTATTCCAATGAGCCTGTAAAGAAAGAAATGTACCGGACAATCACATACCGGTGTATAAAGTACATGTATTTGTGGAACCTTTGAATTAGAAGTCCAATGTGCTAATCCATTGCGGCACAGGGACTATTTTGAAATTGGAAAGTGAACCAAATGTGAATCTTATCTAGTATATCACTCACAACATACTATTTCGAATTGCATCAGATTGTGCTTCTTGTAAAAAATAAAGCCTCGTAGATCTTTACTATTCATTTAAATTCCGATATTTATTTGGGCCAAAGAAGACGGTAAAAACGGCTTTGTCAGATGTCTATCGAGGACCATGGCCCCACTGTCATCAGTGAATAACGACAGTTTTTTATAAGCTAGTGAAATCCTTGCTTCTGATAGGATATTAACAGATTTGTCACTGATTGTTGTCATTTGTCAATTAAAAAAGACCTTGTGAAACGGGTCCCTGATAAAAAAAAAAAAAAGACCTTGTGAAACGGGTCCCTGATTTTTCTTCTTTTTTTTTTTTTTTTTGTAATCATTATTATTGTTATTGTTATTTTTTTTAATCTTTTTTTTTAGGGGGGGGGGGATGGGGAGGGATGGTATTTTTGACGATTTCATTAAACACTCAAATAAAAGTAGCATTCACCTGTACGATAACGCAATGATTTTTCTCATATTATTACTTGGACATAGAATGCTCTTATCTATAGGGAGTAGAGATGAAGACAATTCGCTTTATTTTGTCCTTAAAAAAAAAAAAAGTTCCTCTTAAATCCAATTTTTCAGCAAATTAAAGTACCGAAACTATTATAACTATTAGTATTATTGTTGTTGCTGTTGTTATTATTATCATTATCATGATCAAAAATCATTATTATCATTATTTGTATCATTATTAGTATCATTTCTAATATCATTATTATTAGTAGTAGTAGTAGTAGCAGTAGTTGTAATATTTGTTGTTTTTGTTGTTGTTGTTGTTTATCATAATTATTAATGTCATCATTATCATCATCATCTCATGTGGTCTCCTGCTTTTCCTTTGTAAGAAACTTGCTAAACATACATAAGATATCCATTCTCCCCTTATTTCTTATTTTTATGCAGATTATGTTTTCATGATGGTTTGGCACCAATCAATATATTTGCTTTTGCTTGTATTTTAACTAGAAACATATTTTGTCAAACTTACATGTTATTCATTGATGTTTCTTTGTATTGATATGAAAAAGTGGAAATAAAACAAAACAAACAAACAATCATTGAATTTGGGGTCTGACCACTTGGCCGGAGGCTTGCTAAACTGCATGAGGGTCGTATAAAATTAATGATAGGCCACAAACTATCTAATCGAGCCGAAATTCGGCTGCGTATATAGGGTTGATAAAATATACACCATTTATGTCCTCTTCACAAGACAATAAATAAATGATTATAAATACCATAGATCATAATAACACTCATTATCCGCCATTGCAGCTGTCATTAGTTTTGCTGATGTTAAAGGTGCCCCATAAAACAATGCTCTCGGTGAAAAATGTTTGTTTAATTAGACAATCAATAACTATATGAACTAGTTTGCTGATAATTATGAGGACTTTCATTTTTGTATCCCCGATTTATGTTTTATAGGATTTGGCTCTAAATTTACGAGCCCGAATCATTAAAAAAAAAGCACTATAAACCATTATATGCCTAGTGGCCGATACAAATATATTGTAATTATTAGGTAAAGGGATCAAAAGCACCAAACTATACGATCACAAAAATGAAAACCGGAAGCCATATGTGTGTTCGCAAGAATATGTACTGTTTATCGTTTAAGTGCACACATATGGTATTCGGTCTCGCGGGTCATTATTCAACTAGGCTGTTACCTTGATTTTTTTACCATTATTCTTATTAGCAGTACTAGTATTAGTGGTGGTAGTATTAGTAGTCGTAATAGTAGCAGTAGTAGTAGCAGCAGTAGTATAGCAGCAGCAGTAGTAGTAGTAGTAATAGTAGTAGTAGTAGTAGTAGTAGTAGTAGTATTAGTGGTGGTAGTAGTAGTAATAGAAGTAGTAGTAGTCGTAATAGTAGTAGTCGTAATAGTAGTAGTAGTAGCAGTAGTAGTAACTAGCAGTAGTAGTATAGCAGTAGTAGTAATAGTAGTAGTAGTAGTAGTAGAAGTAGTAGTAGTAGTAAAAGTAGTCATTGTCTTGATAGTAGCAGCAGTAGTATAGCAGTAGTAGTAGAAATAGTAGTAGTAGTAGTAGTAGTCATAATAGTAGTAGTGGTAGCAGTAGAAATAGTATGATTTTATTATTATCATCATTATTATTCCAAAGTTTAGAGGCATCGCCAACACAAAACAGGGAACTATCCTGTTAAATGAGATTCATAATCCAACATGAATTGACATTCTTATATCCCCAGATCTTTTATAATTTGCGTATTATTGTTAGTAAAAATCATTGTTAGCTCACATTTATGCAAACCATAGGCCTGTCACACTTTACACTCCACTCCAGTATCAATGTTGACGCAGCCGTATCAGGACAATAATATTACCCCCTGGATAATCACCCCCCCCCCAGAAAACTAACCCAAGGACAATTACCCCCCTTGAAATTGCCCCCTCGGAGAGATACGCCCCAAGGACACCCCCGAAAATTACACCCCGTTTTCAAAGGGAAAGTCCAACTGATTAAAATTTTATTTTAATAAAAGCAGAATTTCTTCGGGGGGGGGGGGTAATTTTCAGGGGGGGGGGGAGTAATTTTCCTCGTGGGTAATTGTCCACGGGGGGGGGGGGGGGTTATTGTTCTAGGTAGGTGATTTTCCGCGCGGTATTTTTCCTTGGGGGTAATTGTCCTAGAACATGACTCAGTGTACAGTTTGATTTGAAGAAGAAAAAAATAAATATATATAAAGGGACCTCAATCCAAACCGCATAATTCCTCCGCCACTCATCAATAATTAATTTGATATCTATTTTTATATTATAGGCTGACACTGATACAGCTGTCAGCTAAATTACAGAAAAATAATTGTTTGTAAATCCTGCTAATAAACAAGACCTCATAATCTTCAATTTATCTTCCCTTTCACTTCTTTCTTCGTCGGAGATAGTCGCTTGACTTCATGCTCTCACTATAATTCCCATTACGCTATAATGTCACTGGAAAGATCTATATCATAATATTTTTGTTGTGTGTTATGTCATCACCAACTGATCAGACCCCCCCCCCTCCCCCTCTCTCGGGGCCCCTCCAAAAAAGGTGGCATCTCCCTGGTGCTGTCATAATAATTATTATACACCCCTAATTTGAGTAAGCGAAACGTAACAGTGAACAATGTTTTATATCAATTTTAAGTTCAATTTGAACACGATAAGGCCTATATTATGCATGTCATAAACAGGCATGATAACGCTTGTCAGGTCAATAAACAAATGGTATGAGGCTAACGCCCTTCCAACGTGCATGCGCACAATAGTAGGGGTTTCCCCTTTGGCTCTCCCGGGAAAAGGTGACGTCACTGTGCTAGTCGTCACGCTGTCCTATTTTCCGGAGCGAGTACGACTTACCATATATGTTTTTTTCTTCCTGGTTTAAACTCTATTTTCGTTTGTTTTCAATATTGTGTATTGTGTACTATCATGCATAAAGGCATGCTTATCTCATTTCAAAAGCTCGAGGGGGTATAGATTCTTTGTATGGTGTAAGTTTCGCAATTCATCGTCTACCAATCGATATTCGGTGACATTCACATTAAATTCATGTTTATCTACGCTTCAATAAAACATTGTTGCTGTTATTGCCATCGTTGGTATGAAGATTTATGATATATCATAAAATCATAAATAAAAAAGGGAAACGATTCAAGTCCGTCAGTTTTCATGACCTCATCATATTTGCCGAGACATCAGATGCTGCAGATAATATGCAAATAGCTGCATGATTGTATACTCAAACGCGATGATTTTATCGGCGAGTGGTCTTTGGATCTGCCCTGCACTTATCATCTCGTCTAGCTCGCATCGTTTGATTGTTCAGTGATACCACGTGGAATATGTATTAAGAGGGGTTGTTTTCCTGTATTTTACTTCCTTGTTTCAAGGGGAAAGAGTATAGACCCTGCACGAGGAATCTCTACCAGGCACATATTGTTATTTTGATGACGTCGTGCTGGTGGAATCAGCGTCGATGCGGAACGCGCCAAAACGAACCAGAGTCCTCATCGTCTGCAAGCACATGGTGAGCTCAGGCTGCGCATTCTACGCGTCTACTACACATGTGAGGTGAGTTCACCGGCGCCATATAAACAGTGCATGCCCAACCATAGGTAAGGTGTGTAATTCTCCATGATCTCAGTTTGAAGTTCAACTCATAGGATGTGATAGGGAAACAAAAAACTTACTTAACAAGGAGCTTCCCAGCTGATTTCGAGGATATTTTATTCCAATTAATGGAGGCATACATGGGGCATGGGAAATAGAGCTGCTTGAATGATTGAGTTGTTTCTCGAATTGCATTTTATTCTCTGACTCCTCAAGCCAAATAGCTTACAAATAGGATAGGCCTATTTAGGAAGAGAATACATGAGCTAGATTTAATTCAAATTTAAGAAAGTCTTCCTAAATAATTATGATAATTTCATAACCTCAAGCTATATGCAGTTTCAAAATCAATTGAAGGATTTGCATTTCAAACGTGACAATATAGTGCAACACCGCCGTGTCATAACTTCTTTTGGGTTTTTTTTTCTCGGCGACAGTAGACCTATGTAATTTGTTAATTTCAGCCTCTGTGTATGAATAGATATCAGATCAAATCACCAAAGATTAAAAGAAAAATAATAAATAAAATGCATTCATAACATTTTCTACATTTTTACCTAACTTGAAGACGTAGAAACTTAAAGGAATAGAAATGTAAAGTCCCAATACTTTGCAAATATAATTTGTTCTGTTTTTATATATAGTATATATTTTCTTTTTTCGTTTTACATAACATCTCTTGTTTTGCTGTTAGTGTCGGGATCTATTAATTTCTGAATAAACAATATAGTCTTTCGTAAACTGATAGGAAAATCACTAAGCAGGTTATCACAATAATTTTGAAGGGTAAAGGAAATATGATATTTCCGTAAACAATATTATGGGAGTTTAATTGCTTTCAATATGCTATTGAAAGTGCACTTGGAACCTATATAGTTAGTATTCGATCTTTGTTTGCTCCACAACAGGATCTGAGCTTACTACTGATTTGAAAGATCGGGTACAAACTCGACAACTACAACTTCTCTCATCACCAAAATCAAGTCATCAAGCCATCTCTACTCGAGCCTGATCTGGTCAGCCGAGAACTTTTCATGAACGATTGCATCCAAGCCTATAAACTGTGAGGCGTATGATAATAGTCCGACGGTATTATAGTTTGTGGATAATTTGTAAGACCGTCAAATGATGCATCCTTTATCTAGCGACCAAGTGTTTCTGTTGAAGTCACCCATCAAGATGCAGGCACCTCGGATGGATTCACAGCTAGCTGCACCTAGTCTATCAATGTGAGTAGCAATCTAAATATTATCATATCCCTTTTTTTAAATGTATTTATTTAATGTCCAGGTACATGTATAAACAAAATAGAAATGACAACACAGAGCATACTACATGAAAGAGTTACAAGACAGTGAAAATGCCACCAGCGGACGCCTGACGGTTACCTAAAAGAATTTCCATTCTGTCATGAGGTTCTCCGCGTCCGCTGGTGTTACATGACTTGTGAATAGATTTAAGAAATAACTGTAAAATAACAAAACATAACAGAATTCAAGTACATCCATCTCTTAAATAACAGCATTCCTACTCAACACAGTGGGGAAAGAAACTTAGAATCTCTTTTTATTGGAAGGGGTTGCAATTCTGGAAGTATTGTAAAAACGTAAAGTAACAAAAAAATATAGGAAGATTATATGTATTTCAAATTGAATTTATGAATATCTTCTTCTTTTTTTAAATGAAAAAAATGAGCAACTAAAATGGAATGTAGAACATTGAATTTTTGTTCCCGTTCCCTTTTTTAAAATCATGACATATATCCCCCTTTTGCTTTAGTTTTGTGTTAATTCCCCCCCCCCTCTTCATTATAGATCATTGTCCATTCTTAGATGTCTTTTATTTTTCATAGTTTCGAATTTCTTGTTGTCTGAGTATTAATAGAAACAGTCAACAACTTCATTATACAAATAACTTATAGATTTGAAATTGTATGTGATTTTCGTAACTATAAGTTTAATTAGGGCCTTTGTTAAATACTTTTAGATGCATAGCTTTGATATGTCACATTCTCAAAAAACATTAATAGGGAAAAAAATCTCCTGGCTGCTAACTTACAAGCATGTACACGCTTTCTTAGCAGTCAGGTAAGAAAGAGAAAAAAAACTTCATCTCCACCTCCCTCTTTTTCTCTTGGAAAATTCATAGCGCTATTGGTATAGTGAATTTGGTGTTGTACTTTTAAGCGTGATATCCAGATTTAAAAAGATTGCATAGGGTTTCCGATTTTACCCTCTGCTTTTCATTTCTTCCCACGAATGCTAATGACTTTCAACAGGTCTGTGAAAATGATAAGTATGTGAAAAAAGAAAAAGTGTATCTTGAAAGACCGACAGACAATCTCTGTCACGAGGGAATTCGTCTTTGTATTTTTGTGTGTGTTCTATACCTGGATAAAAATATATAATGTATAAATAAACTATTTATAAACCCTTCCATTGATAACCGAAGAAAACATGAATAAACCTAATGAAGACCTCTCGTTTTCTATTATATTCATAGCTGGACATGTAGAGGGAGCAGGGGGCATGTGTACACCTATTATATAGCAATCTATAAACTTATATGCAATATTATTAGCTGAAAGGTTCAATTTTAAACCCCCAAAGGCTTTTTTGTTTTAATGAATAAAAAGGAATTATCGTTTATTTTGCTTGTCAGAGAATGTTGACTAAAAAGAAGGGGAAAACAAATCGAATTGCCCCCTTCCCCTCCCCTTCCCCTTCCAGAGGAGAGTCCTGCACAAGCCGATGATAATTTAATGTACATCTTCCCTCTCTTTCTATATTCCCTTGAATTCCATTGACGCAAATAATCCTCAATTTATGCATCATTTAAAGCAAGTACAAGCCCCATGCATGCAAGTCGGTCATAATTCTATAGATATTAAATCTTCTATTGTTGCTGCAAACTTTACTGTTGAACAACAACCAGAGCATGAACAACTATAAGTATAAAACGAGTCACCCTTATGTTTTAAAATCTGATCATGCATGCATGACTATAATTGTGAGAACATTTCGGTAAAATTCAGTACAACATCAGTATTAAAAAATAAAAATAAAATCTTTCTACCAGTTTAGCTTTGTGGCAAAAGAGACATTATTGCTCAATGTTTTTTTTGCCGAGCATACACTTAGGATATCACTGTAGTGGGTCACCTCATAGCACCCCTCCCAATAAGTTTTTTACAACTAACAGACTAACTTCTAAATTTATATGTACACTATAGTGCAATACAAACCTCGGGATTTTCGATCACATTTGCTTATTATACTCATAAATTGCATAGATGTGCCCTGCGCAAACCCGTTGAAGGTGTTTCTCTTGGTCAGGATTAAAACCAGAAATTATTATTACAAAAACTTACTGTGACCCCATAAGGCGCTGTTCTAAAGTGGTGAGGGGTGGGTCGGATAAAGCCTCTCTAGCAAATATCATATAGGCTCATTTAGGACTACAAGGCAGAGGTTCTTTGGTGGTTGCAGCTATCTTTTCCAAATTTTTTATTTAACAATATTCTGGCGAATTTCAACTCGTGAATTCGAGCAACTGTCACTTCATATTTGGACAGCAAGGTACAGTTTGTATGGAATTTTTATATCTTATTCTGTACATCTTTATCACAAAATTATACATGTTTACTTTAATTAAGATGTTTGAAATATTGCTCACTCACTCATAAGAAACTGAAGAATTGATATTCGGGCAAGTTTCCCTCCCCAGCACCCAAGGGAAAATTGTGCCCCTAATCCTATAAATGGCCCTTCGGGTTTCTTTTCAGTCAAAAACCTACCTCGCAAAACAGAGATCCTTCATTATAGCCAAACTTCAAGAATATAGACCCAGGAATATCCTGGGCATGTATTTCTTAACCATGAAGCCCAGAAGAGCTCGTTAGTACATCGTTCTTATGTTATGAATTGTATCCAATATAAAATATGCTATAGCACACAAATCTCTAGGCAATGCCCCTGTCCAAACTCCAAATAATCAAAAACGACATGTGACCCCCACCCTCACAAATATATATCATGCCCACTAGCAAATAGCTAAAATATTAATTGCATAATTTGTTGTTGCAAATCATATCGCATAGGAATGGAATCATGGCGATTTTCAAATTAAGAAGCTTGTCCCCGCCTCCCCCTTCCCCTCATAAACATTACTGTAGATGTTTGTAAATGAAGCCTAAACACTTTGTTGAAGGAAACATCCACGATGAATATGACAGACAAAGAAAGCGGACAAAATATACAGTTCCTCAGGTAGACAAAGGAACATCCCTTCACTGCTATTATGTAAAAATGTGTAGAACAGGTGAATATGCATGTGACACCTGTTCTACCTGTTCTATGTGTAGAACAGGTGTCACATGCATATTCACCTGTTCTACACATTTTTACATAGCAGTGAAGGGATGTTCCTTTGTCTACCTGAGGAACTGTGTATTTTGTCCGCTTTCTTTGTCCGTCATATTCATATATCTTTGGTTAACGATTGATCACATAACCTTTCGTACGTGTGTTCCAAGAATGAGAATAGGGATTATCTCGTTGATTTATCTTCATGGAAGCATGCAAGCATGATCAAATTAATCATCCCAATAAATATGAACTCTAGACCTATATACCTAAATGAAAATCATGTGAATAATGTGCACATTTTCACAAACTAGGCCGTAATGTGATTTGTGATCCTCGAATGAAATAGGAAGATTCGATTAATCTCATAAAACAAAATCGTATTCATAGGTAAAATCACTCGGACTAAACTGGTTACGATTAAGAGAGATGCAGAGCTTTTTCGCATGACAATTCCATGAATGCTAATTTTTGCGCAAAACCGCAAATTGTTGATACAATGTAACATAAAAAACCTTCAAAGTTCTTTTTACCGACATTGTTTTGAAGTTCAGCTTTCCATGCAAAAGGCATAGTTTTCAATTCATATTATGATAATTATAATCGCAAATGAATCAACTGGCCCCAACATTAAACGAAAAAGAATAGCAACAACGTGTAATTGCCCTGTACTCTTCATTCAAGCAATTTAGAGAAGAGAATAATATGCCAAGCCATATATTTTCCAGTAACCGAGGTCCTAGAATGCACTGTTTCTTTATAGATTCCACATAATGCCTCGATCTGAATGTTATGATCTGATCATATCATCCCAGTTTCATGTTCAAGAAGAATAAACATTAATCTTTTAAGTTCCTTGACAACACTCCTTTGCTTCTTTCCTCTCGGAAATATGGCATGATTATTAACGGAGTTGAGTATTTTAGATGGTTGTTCCTTGTTTTGTCTGATACTCTGACGTGTTGTCTTTCTAGTATAGGGTGAAAAATGATATCAAGTATTTTTTTTTTAAACGTCAATTAAAAAAACAGCTAAAACGATCCCCCAGGAACATGAATAAACACTTGGCAGCCGAGAAGGAGGAAATTGAAAGAACATGACCAAATATTTACCCGCTGCTCAAGTTTAATGATATCAAAGTAGGCCTATATACATGTACACGTAGTAGTAAAGTCAGCCGTTCAAATAAGGTCGTTCAAATAAGGTCGTTCAACTGATTTTGTTTTGTTGAGGAGTTAGTTAGCTTTCAGAACATGTTTTATTGGAAGTCAAGTCGAATTGTTTACATTAGATTATCCATCCCTAATAGAATGAAACATAATTATAAACAAACTGTATAAGTATCCTTTCTTTGTGTTTCTTCTTATGATTTTCTATACTGGAAAGTCGTTGAAGATAAGGGGGACTCATACACATAGTGACAAAAAGGCATGAAAACAACCATAATAAACTCATGGCAATTTCCTGTAAATTGCACAGAGAAGATATTGATTTTTTGTTAAACTCTGGTAAGAATGATTTATTGTAAAACAAATAAATGAAATACCTGCTTGTCTTGTTGAATCAATTTGTCAGTGTGACGCAACTATATGATTTTATGTTTAAATCGTTATCTTTTAAGAACAGAATCATCAGATCAGATATTAATGGAGTGAATAGTTGGATCATCAACAGCTAATCAAATATATTAAAAATGATATAGTATCATGACGATGAAGATGATGATAATAATAGTAATAATAATGATAATAATAATTATTATTATTACAATCATTTTACTTGTACAAACTTACATTCTTCGGTATTTCATTTTGTTACTGTTATGAGTTTATTCGTCATTATAGTTTGTTGTAAAAAAACAGGGT